AGGTGTGAGGACAAGAATAATGAAAGTATGGACATGAAGTTCCTTAGACTTAGGATAAAGTCTTGTATAACTCCTTTTGTGTAATGTGACCTTGTATGACATTGTAATGGTAATCCAAATTGAATATGTTCTTCAAAAGTCCTTTTTATCTTCTAAGTTTCCAATCCTTTTTTCTTTTGATTTTGTAATCCAAAGTTGTGATATCACTTAGTATGAGGTTATGAAACCTTGATGGATGTTTGAATGATGTATGACCCTTAATCATTATGAATGCTTAATTATTATAACTTGAATATCAAGAAATCCACCTTCAAATTTGTATGCTTAGAACCTTGACAACTTTGAACCAATTTGAACCCAATTTGAATTCAATGATATTTTTTGGATGCAATTTCAAATCAACTCAATGAAACTCCTCATATCACTTGCATCATGGCTCAAACTTCTAACAATTCAAACTCTCAACTTGTTATTATCGGGTATTGAAAGCAACAAGTAAAAACCTTGATCACAACTTCATCTCTCGGGCCATGGTTTGGTCTTTGCAGTTCAGACCAACAACCCTTGAAATAATGATCAATGATCTCAAAATGTATCTTCAAGATGTATAAGATTTGTCATTGAAACTCTAATCATTATTTCATTGAGAAACACTAACAAAATCCCACACCAAGGACAAGAAACCATAATCATGAAGTACACTGACACAAGAAAACCCTTTATGCTGAGAGAAACCCCAAAACCCTAATTCACTCCAAACTTAAAATATTTCAACCCCGATCTTCTGAGAAATACAGAGAAGTACACTCTGATCCAAGACCTTGGTGAATGTGGGTAGAGAAAGAAGTGCATAATAATGAATCAAAATCCTAGCTCATAATCCATTGCTCAAACAAGAAAAAGTAGAAGAACCAGTCTTATTGATGTAGAATCCTTAAAACCAATGTGAAGCCCTAGTCTTGCACAAATACCGCTTATTGAACCAAAGTGCTTTATTCAATGAAATGCATGATATGCAAATGAACTAGTGAAGACGATGTAGATGAATGTGAAGTCTAAGCCAGACAAAAGTAAGAGGTAGGACAAATTTGGGATATGACAACTGCCCCTATTTAATCGTCTTAAACCTGAAGGTGAGATTGGCGCCAGCCTTTCGAAAGTTCAAGGTAGAAGATGATTAAATACCAGGACCTGAAATTTGTCCTGGAGAGATGGTGTAAGTGTTATTATTTGTGATGTCTGCTGGGGATGAAAAATGAACTTTTTGGTGAACTAGTCGTGATAGATAAATGTGGTTGAGTAATGATAGCTTGTATTGGGGTCACGGTGCCAATACAAGCTTCTCAAGGAAGTGGGTGTTAAAGTGATTGAAAAGATATGGTACATGATGTCGTGGTGACTGAAAGTAGGATTAATGACATCATGATAACTTAAAGATGATGGGTAGAACTCGACGATAATAGGGAATCTACCGTGTAGGATTCACGACCCAAAAAGAAAGGTAAAGACAACGGGTAAAGATTGGCGTATGATCTATGACCCAAGAAAAGATAATCATGAGGGTAAGACCTGCAAACTAATGGGCATTTCTAAATCAAAAAAGGCCCATATAAATTGTTGAAGCTCATCCGAGTTCTCTTGCAAGGGGGTGTATTAGTTAAGTTATTGGCCCATTTAGAGTTCTATAGAAGGGAGGTATGCAGATTACATGAGGGGTTTTTGTTAATCAGGACCGGCCCACTAAGGTATTAAGGTATGTTTTAAATAAGAAGGGTGTATGTTTTAATCAAGGAGGCCCATGAGCAATTCATTTTTCTAAAGGGCCAATAATTGATACAATTTAGCCCGTTATCAGTTTTTTTTTAGAATTTGTTTGTTAAATGTATAGCTGACATTATTAAAATTATTATTATTAACATTATTATTATGAACATAATTAAGTTGTGTTTGTTTTATTAATTGAAAAAAAAAAACGTTAACTAAAAAAAGGGCCTTCTAATCTTTAATAGTCTGGCCCTTCACCTTTTTTTCAGCCCAAGCCCAATAAAAAAAAAAGAACATGCACAATCTATATTAGAAGAAAAAAACGCATGTTTCAAAACCAGAATAATTACTGTTCGAATCATTGAAGAAAAATGCATGTTTTATTACTAAAAACAGATACTATTCAAATCCAAGACAAAATCAAAACAAATTTTTACATTGAATTGTCTGGAACTTTACAACACAATCAAACTCAATACAAAATCAAACTAAATCATAACAGAATTAAAACTTTATATAAATCCGTATCAAATTACAACCAAATCACAAACAAATCCATAAATCCCTATTTCTGCTATCAATCTTAAGCAGTAACGACAATTATAAAAAACCTTCCTAATATATCTAAATCAAAACGCTATAAAAACCTAAGATTTTAAGACAGAAAAGGAGGAAAATTTTACAGAGAAGAGAAAGCCTGAGAGAAGAAGGAGATTCAAGCTCTTCTCTATTGCACTGCCGTAAACTTTTGCTCACCGTTGCTCCGTGCAAGCTTAGGGTTTCAACATCTGAAACCCTAGATCTCCTCTATTGCTTTGCTACTACGTCCTCCACCACCACCGTCTAGTACCTGTCAAACACGAAAGAAAAAAAGGATCAGAAGGAGTTACGCAGAGGAGGCGCAAAAACAATCACGATCGGAGGAAAGGACTTAGCTCGTGTTTTTTTTTTCTGTTTTGTTTTGCGATTTGGGTTGTGGGATAAGGTTGGATTTGGGGGTAAGAGAACTATCACCGCCGATTAGGGTTTGGGAGGAGCGGCTGTGATTTAGAGTTTCTGTGATGATGGTTTGGTGAGAGAAGAGAGAACGAGAGATAAATCAGAGAGAGAGAGAGAGAGGGACGAAAATGACAAAGTGTTTTATAAAACAGAAAATATAATGGTTCATAATCCTATGCATCGCGTGTTACCATGCTCGCTCCATCATGACCGTGCGATTTCAATCAAGCGTTCCAGAAACGCGCGCCTATTGCATTCCGTCTGCATGGAGTCCAAATGAACTCCCAAATATCATTTGGGCCAAGCCCAATTGCTAAAACTTCCCCCTCTATTTTTGTTTTACTAACCAATGCAAATCCTCACCCCCCCTCAGCCTAATGGGCCAAGTCCAATATCTGGACTTGGACCCTTACTCCTTACACCCGCAAATTTTGCTACATAATTCAAATTCAAACCCCTCCTGTGTTGGGCCTGAATTCAACATCTGAATTCAGGGCCCTACTACATATACCCCCCTGTTTTGCTAGCCCAACATAATTTACACCCCCTTGTGTTTTTCTTGTTTTCTCTTATTATTTTATTATAATTATTTTTTTATATTTTAATAAATTTATAAATTTTAATATATTTTATTATTATTATAAATCAAATATTATTTTTCAACTCATCCAAATATTTATTTATTGTATTAAAATTATTTTAATCATGCATTATAAGATATTTTTATAATTAATACATTAAAAAATATTTAACCAACACTAAACTTTTTTTCATAATAAATTAAACTCAACAATAAATTTTCAAAAAAGATTATGAAAATATTTTAATCGACTGCGCACTTCGTCTAACAACTCTGTTATTCACACACCCAGACTAAGTACAAGGGGAATTCAAATATCTTCGTAATACATGAAAAACACCAACCCAACGTAAACTAAAAATTGGGATTTTAATTCCTCATAAGAGGATACGTAGGCATACGACTAAAATTTTAGCGAGTTCCCCTAATAAAAATTAAAACCCTATTTCTTAAAGATTGCGTTTCTAAACCCTAGTATCCTTGTGAACAAGGTAGATGAGGGGTGCCTAACACATTCCCTTCGTCTAAGAACGAGTCCAACAACTTAGAATCTCTGACCAAATTAGGATTATCCTTTATATTCCCTTCCTAAAGATAAAAATTAAGGGTGGCGACTCTCAATTTAAAATCGGTTACAACAACTTGTATGATGCCAAAGGCTAGAATGAGGAAAATAGAGAACTAAATATCTTGCAACATACTTATTATGGCCTAGAGCAATTTAGGATAACTTAGATTATTTCTAAAAATTGGTTTCCATAATTCCTTATGGATAAACATTAGTCAAAAGTAAGTGGAAAACAATCCCACCAGGGCAAAGGTATATCTATTTCACTATAAGAATTAAGCTCAATATAAATTGATATTTGTAATATGTATGATAATTAATTTCAACAAAATGACTAAAATCAAATAGTAGTTGGACCCATATGATGCATGAGAAGTCATTTATTTTAGTGACTTGAGTTTAATTGACTGTTATGTCAACTTTCCATTTTTCTTATCTATTTATGCTAAACTATTAAACTGACTTAATTGTCTCCATCTTTGATTCCCCCTCGCAATATTTGATCCCACCCTCCCTTTTCTTCCTAATCTCTTCCATAGATTCCCCAATCTCACCTATCTCCACCTCACGTGCATCACTAAACAAACTGATCTCCACGCGCTTCTCTGCCAAATCTCCAATTTTGAGAGGCAAATTGCAAATGTTATTAACAAATATAACTCAATATAAACGATAAGGGAAAAGGTATATCTATTTCACTCTAAGAATTAAGTTGTCAACATGTTACCAGCAGACTAGACTGAAAAAGAATAATAGTGATGAGACGTTTCTATGCAGCGCAAATATCAGTCAATATAATATTCTGATTTGGAGTTAATCTAACATTCAAATAATACTTCTCAATAACCTCCCTCAATGTCATTTTTATTTTTCTAGCAATACGAGCATTGTCAACATGAAGCCTACATATAAACCACCATCACCCTGGAAAATAAAACTCAATGAGCCAACATACATAAATTCATGGAGCTATAACTTAGCCAAAGACAATATCATCAAAGAATGAGCTACCTGCATGTTACTTATCCACCACACCCTCTTTTTTCATAACTTCATCCCACCATTGTTTCATTTCTTTCAAACAATCGTTCATCCTTTTAAGCCTCTGCAATCGATCACAAAACAGAATTCAATGGCTTTTTCAAACACATTGACTTTCGAATACAATAGATTTGAATTCTTAGGTTTCTACTCAAATTTGAAACCATTATTTAAATTTTAGTTCAAGATTGAATAACATATCACAAATACAAAAAGAGACAAAAAAAGAGAAATTAAATTACCTCAGCATGAGATTGCTGCTGTGAACCAGCAACTTTCGCAGCAAACCTCCTGATTAACAATACATCAACATAAAGTTTCATCAACTTAAAGAAACCAAAAACCAAAAACCAAAATCACAAAAAAAACAAGAATAAGAAAAAGAGAATTACTCAGAAACCAACGATATTTCTTCCACTACCTAAAATTAAAAAAAAAATAAACTTTCAAAAACCTATTTCAAATCTTTAACTTTACACAAAACCCATTTCAAATCTTTATCTTTATACAAAACCCAATCTTTAATTCAAACCAAAACCACCTCAAAATCATAACTCGGACTAAAAAAATAGAATCCACAACCGGAAAAACCATACTCACCGCCATCAACGATACAACTCGGACCACCATAAAATTCTCTAGCAATAATCAGATCTACATATAAAATAGAAAAAATGGAAACAAATCAAAAAACATGACAACAAATCTAACAAATCTACTATGAACACAAGAAGAAGAAGAAGAAGAAGAAGACATGAATGAAAGAACAATGCCTTTTGAGAGTAGCAGAGGTAGGAGAAATGAAGACGAAGGAGAAATGGGGGATGACAGATTTAAGCTTTGAAGAGAATTGAAAGCAAGAGATAGAAGAGACAAAGAGAAATAAATTTTGAACATGAAGTATAAATTTTGAAAATGTGATGGATGAGAGAGAAACAGAAGTGTAAAAATGAGAGTAGTAGAAGTGAAAATATTAGGTACCACTTGGATGAAAGGAAGAATTTGATTAGATAATACAATTTTATTCATTGAATTACGAAAAAAGGTATTTTGTAGTGTAAAATTAAAATTGTTTAAAGAGTAGAATTGGAAGTGCATAAGCATCTCCAATTCTTAGTTAGGTAGTAGATCAATTTTCTTTGGAAAATAAAAAAAAAAAACATTTTTTTAAATAAAAAAAGTTGACTAACTTTTATCAAAAATTAAAAAAACGAATTTTTCCAAAATAAAAAAAAAGTTGATTTTTTTAAAATAAAGAAAAGTCAGTTTTTTCCTAAAAAAAAGTCTATTTTTTTTCCAAAAATAATAAAAAAGTCATTTTTTTTCCGAAAAAAAAGTCATTTTTTTTAGAAAATAAAAAAATGCCGATTTTTTCCGAAAATAAAAAAAGTCAGCTTTTTATGAAAAAACAAAAGCCGATTTTTTCCCAAAATTAAGAAGTCTATTTTTTCAAAAATAAAAAAGTCCGTTTTTTCCGAAAATAAAAAAATTATTTTTTTCCTAAAATTAGAAAAGTCAGTTTTTTATTTCAAAAATAAAAATATCAATTTTTAGTGAAAATAAAAAAGTCAATTATTCCGTAAAAAATGATTTTTCCCAAAAAAAGTTTTTTTTGGTGAAAACAAAAATGCCGATTTTTTTTGAAAAATAAAAAAGTTGATTTTTGGCGTAAATAAAAAAAGTCGATTTTTTCTTAAAAAAATCTAGATTTTTTTCAAAAAAGAAGAAGCCGATCTAACAAAATCAAGTATAACATTTCAGTTATTTAAAAAATAGTTCGGTTTTGAAAATATTGTCTTATAATAATTTGGAATAGTTCTGAATTCTGAACTGTTGTACCAACTAAAACTTTTGGTTCAATTCGGATTTAGAAAAAATGAAATAGTTCGATTTGGTTCAGATGACTATTATAATAGTTTGATTTGATTTGATTCAGTTTTTTAATAAAATTGTACCATGAACAATCCTAATTAATATAAATTCGACGACTTAAATTAAATAGAATATATTAAAATATTAGATATAATATCAAATATAATCTATATTATATATTACATATATTAATATATTAAATATAATATCAAATATAATTCAAATCAATAAGCCCAAACCCAAACTCAATTAAAATGATATATAAATACTCATAATTTATATCTGAACAATATAATCCTTATTTCTTTATTGATCTTGACGGCGGCGTTAGTAATCAGTGACTCCCATTATATTAACAATTCACAAAACTTGTTTTTCCTTTCATTCCATTCATATTCGGCCAATTAAATGGTTCTTTCTCAAAAGCTTCACCAAGCTTTCAAAGACACCGTAGAGAGAATCACAGGTCCAAGAACGGTTTCCGCTCTGAAAGAAAAAGGAGTTCTTAGCGTCTCCGAATTCATCATCACCGGTGATAATCTCGTTGCTAAATGCCCCACTTGGTCATGGTAATTTCCAAGTGTTTCCAAATAGTAAAGAAACCGTTTTTGATTCATGTGGTAATGTTTTTCACTTCGAATGACATAGGGAATCGGGTGAGCCAAGCAAGAGGAAGCCATATTTACCGTCTGAGAAGCAATTCTTGATTACTAGAAAGGGTAAGATTATGGATTTGAGAGTGTTTGTGTTTTAAACCTTTCCTATTTAATGGCTGATTTTTGAAGTTGTTTTGTACAAACAGTCCCTTGTCTGCGGAGAGCTGCGTCTCTTGAAGAAGAATATGAAGCTGCCGGAGGGGAATTTCTACTTGATGATGGAGATAATGATGGATGGCTAGCAACTCATGGAAAACCTAAAGGTTAGGCATGCAACTTTAATCCTTTGATCTTTATACCCTTGTGATTGTGATTTTGAATTTACCTTCTATGGAAAGTATAGAAATCAGCCAAAAGAGTTCTATTATGCCAACATCTTTTTACGACGATGAAGATATTCCTGATATGCCAGAGTTTTTAGAATATGACAACATTATTTTGACAGATCCGGTAAGTTGATACTACATATCCATATTAAGAAGCACAATCACTTAAGACGTTAATTTGAATGTAATTGTGTCATTTATTTTTCCTTTTGCTTATTGGTGGCCATTCTTCAGTCCACATGTCTAGTAGCTCATGAACCTGATGATGATAATATTCTACGTACCCGAAGCTATGATATCAGCATCACGTAAGAAGAACTTTTGTATATATTTTAAACATAAGCCTACTTCATTTCAGAAACAATTATTTATTTGACAATGAATTTAAAAGGTTGGCTTTGCTTTTTTATTTTTGGCAGGTATGATCAGTATTATCACACACCTCGTGTGTGGCTTACTGGATACGATGAGGTTTGTTTTATTTACTTGATCCTTCTAAAACATAATAAGCCACTTTTGACTTACTTACATGACTATGGCGAACCTACTAGCATTATAATTAGCATTATGAGTTCTAACTAATTAACATTACACGATGTATCCTTCTTATTTTGATGAATAAGGATGAAATCATCTTCACTATTACCCTGCCATTTATGAATAGCACATGGACTGCAAAATTAAAGTATTGTGACATTAGTGTCGGGACATGAAAATTGTGAATTTGTATGGCTTGATGCTTTTACAATTTAGGTTAAATGGTTGTGAGAAACATAAACCCTCTCGTTATTTGAAACTATATACCTTGGAAAACTAGTGTTTTGGTTCAGTGATTTCTTCTCTTGTCCTGTGGCAGTTAGGGTTGCTGTTGCAACCAGAACTTGTCTTTGAAGACGTTAGTCAAGACCATGCACACAAAACGGTGAGATGTTGATTATCAACACACATAACACACACTTATAGGGCTACTATTTATGTCAAAACAATGTTATTTTCTATCTTATGAAAAATGTTGCAGGTGACAATGGGGGACCATCCTCACTTGCTTGGAAAACATGCATCTATTCATCCTTGCCGACATGGAGCAGTGATGAAGAAAATCATTGATGTATTGATGTCACGTGGAGTTGGGCTTGAAGTTGACAAGTAAACCCTTTGTTTCTAATATCATATTATTTTCATTTCGGATATACAAGTGATTCATTTAACGTAAACTTCTATTTAAACGTCTATTTCTCTTATTAGATGAGTTCTTCTGGTAACACCATCCATATTTTCTTCTTTATTTTCTCTTATTGTATGTTTCTAATACCTGCCATATACGAGGTGCATAATTCCATAAACTTATTTATGCAGGTATCTATTTTTATTTTTGAAATTTATGGCTTCTGTAATTCCAACTATCGAGTATGATTACACCATGGACTTTGATTTCAGTAGCTCCAACAATTGACTAAGGTAATTTGGATCATGAGCTGAACTGAATAGGAATTCATGATGCATTCTTCTCTTTTTAATACTATGAGGTGAACTAAACTTGTGATGTTATGACTATGGTACCAGAATGGGAATTCGCAATACATCTTCTCTTGTTACCACTATGAGGTGAACTGAACTTGTGATGTTATGATTCTATTGATGATTTATACTTTTTGTTTTTCTTTAAAGAAGGTAGTTGCATGTTCAAGTAAAACATGAGCATGATCTCTCTTACCAAATCTTTCTTTGTTTTTGCGCGCACATTAAATCTGCCTATAATCTGTGACTTTTGTGTCGTACTCCCTCTATTATCTTTTATAAGCAAATTTTTTTAATTGAATAAATAATGTATTTGAACTTCATATCGATTAGATACATCTCAATTATTTAATGAATCTAAAAAAATGATTTGAACTACGTATAGATTAAATATATCTCAATTATTTAATTTAATGAATTTAAAAAGTAAAAATTACTCAGTGCAAATTTCCTTTTGAGACATGTACATATTTGATATATCACATTCTTATGACTATGTTGCACCTTGCAATTTAAATTTCATTGGATTCGTAAGTATGTTTTAAATTCTAGTATCAAACACTTAAAAATATGTTATATGTTCTAGATCTTAGAATTTAAAGAATATTTTTTTGAATTTTTAAAAACTTTTTAAGAGGATTGAGTAGTAAAAAAAAAAGTTTACGATATTGGTTATTTTAACTCAATCATAAAAATCACATTTCTTCTTAGTTTACCCCAAGTCAATTCCATAACAACTTTCAAACCACACCAAAGGAATCAAATCTATGATATATCTATAATATAAGAAAAAAATTAGTTTTTTTTTAAAACTACTAGTCTCTCTTATTCTTTTGTGCTGCCACGACATCAAACTACGGATAAATCATGTCTAAATATTATTTTTATAACTAATGATGTGACTTTGTTGTATTTCAACTATATGTTTTTTGTCATGAGATGCTACTTTTTATGCTATTTCAATTTCTTTTGTCTCTACTTGCAGTACTATTGAAACCGCATAATATCAATTATGAGTTAAATCATATATCTTTTGCCTTTTCATATTTTCTCCTTCCTTTTTTCATGTAAATGATTCAACTTCACTCTTCGCCCGATGTTGCAACTGTTTGCAAAATGACCATCACCTTGCTTTTCTTTTATAATATATAATATAGTAAAGAAATCCGTGCTATGGCACCTCACGAGTCTTATCCGAATTCATATTTCATATAACTAAATCATCTTTTATAAAGTTTATCTTTGTTTATTCAATTAATTAACATCTCCATAAACACAAATATAAAATAATAATATGCATAAAGTTTTAAACATTAATCCGTAATTATAATAAACCTTATACGTTTATCAAATCATCATTTATAAAATTTGTCTTAATCAGTTAGTTAACATTCACATGGTAATAATATACATCAACTTTTAAGCATTGCTCATTAATTATAATAAGCTTTATACATCTACTGAACCATCATTTGTAAAATTCGTCTTTGTTTATTCAGTTAATTAACATCTACAATTATTCATATTATTAATAAATATTCTTGCGTGGATACACTTCACAATCAACAATTTATATCTCATTGATGCGTTTACATATACCCGTGGATCTATGTTTGCAAGAACCTTTACAAAAATTATAATTCTAAATAGGAAAATCAAGAAATAAATCAAAAATAATATTTAAGTAAACTAAAAAAAAACACATTGCAGTAAAAAAAAACATTTGACAAGAATAAAATATCTCAATATACAAGTGTTAACAATTTGGTATTAAAGGTCTCCCTTCTTCAATATCTTCAATATGCAGGGAACAACACAAGCAATGGTCTACACTTCCACTTAAGCCAACAATAGTCTACAACTCTACTTAAGCCAACAATAGTATGCAATCCATGCACTTAATTATGTTTGAGATCTCTTTGCAATCCAACTGCAGGGAATCCTTTCTTTTTTATAACTTTCTCATAATTTTGCAGTCGGTGTTAACATGATCTCTCATGTTACATTTATACGTATTATGTCAATACTTTCAAATTTAATTACTTCTACAAATCTGAGTTGGACATCAGCCTACAAAAAATGAAATAATTATAAATATCATTACAAAATATATATTGTAGAATGAAATTCATTGTTATTCCTCAACTCAATAGCACATGCAACTAATTCTTTTCTATTGAGCATTTGTCGTTGATATCGCTTACAACTTCTTTCATGAAATTTTTGTACATGATCAACCAAAAGGAAATCTTGACACCATATTAAGAGAATTGCTCCACTTGACCACTTTTATTGCTCTTTCTTCCAACATCACTTGATGTCCCTCAAACTTGATTAATTTCGTCACTCAACTTTGACATTCCAGCCTCAGTTGAAACTCGAACGTTAAGAATAGCATTAAGAATGTTCGTTGTCCAGTCTCTTAATCATATCTAAATTGAAATTAGTAGAACAAAACCTAAATCGTGGCATGATACTAATCCATATAGCAAGTGCTCATATCTAAATTGAAATTAGTAGAACAAAACCTAAATTGTGGCATGATACTAATCCATATAGCAAGTGCTCAATATAGACAAATATGGAGACCGGAGAGAAATAGACTCCACTAATTTTATAGAAATTATTTGTTGAGTGTGGTTTCTAGATATTAAAGATCTTTTACGATGCATTTATTCACAAAATTGTAAATTTTCCATCTTTATCTTAAAAATGTAAAAATATGACTATACCAAAGAAAATTGATATGATTAATAGCCATACACCTCCTTTCCTAAACTTCACCACCATCACTCCATGCGCAACACCATTATTATGACCAGATCCTCCGATAACATTCCGTTAATATATTTAATCTTTGTAATTTTGTTATGATGTTATTTTGATTGTAAACGTTGTTTTTGAATTTTTTGGAAGAGAGATGAAAGAACAAAAAAATGGAAAAAGAGAATGGGATCGAAACGAAAAAGAGAAAGGAAGTTTGTTGTTTTGTTTGAGTCAGGTGAGAGAGATAAATTTATGAACTCAGATTCACTTTCAGGAAGAAAAAGGGGATTTGATCTAAATTCTAATTTCTCTTCATTTTATTTTTAATTAATTAGTTTTTTTATTAGGTGTGAGTAGGTCAACTTTAGATGTTACTATTTTTTTTATCTTCAATGTGACTTTTGAGTCCTCGTACCTTAAAGATAGTGATAATTCAAATTTTATAGAAAATCGAAAAGTTTTGCGTAGAGAATTTGATTTATAATTATTGTATGATAAAAAATAATGGTAATTCACGGGTAAATAGTAAAATGCTTCATTAAATTTTTAATTAGACATTTAAATTTAAAATAAAATAAAAATTAGTAAATATTTATATATTACTATTTCATATATTAAATATTTGTATATTCAACGGGGGCTTCGCCAAGGAGACCCCATCTCGCCTCTGCTATTCATGATCATCATGGAATATTTGTACCGAGTGCTTCGGGGGCTGAAACAGAATCATAATTTCAATTTCCACCTGAAGTGTGGTAAAATGCGCATAATCAATATTTGTTTTGCAGACAACATCCTTCTATTTGCAAGGGGTGATGTGGAGTCCATAAAGATTGTGATGCAAGCTGTCAAAGCGTTCTCAAATGCTACAGGCTTGTATATCAGTGAGCAGAAGAGCAAAGTATTCTTTGGAGGGGGTGGATGAGATGACTAAACAGGAGATCCAACTTGCTACCGGTTTTGAGAGAGGAAAACTTCCTTTCAAATACTTGGGTGTGCCCCTGGACAGTAAGAAGTTAACCATTCTTAATTGTATGCTGCTTATTGATAGAATGTTGTGTCGTATTAATCATTGGAGCTCTAACCTGTTATCTTATGCTGGTAGGTTCCTCCTCGTCAAAAGCGTTTTGTTTGCTATCGCTAACTATTGGATGCGGATTTTTCCTCTTCCTAAGAAAATCATTCAGCACATTGAGGGAGTTTGCAGGAAATTCCTTTGGTCCGGCAGAGTAGGTAGCAGCAGAAAAGCCCCTGTTTCTTGGGACCAAATTTGTAGACCTAAGGTGGAGGGAGGCCTTAACATGATTGCGCTTTATGAATGGAACAAAGCCTCGATAGATAAATTGCTTTGGGACTTGAATGCTAAGAAAGATAGAATGTGGATAACATGGATTCACCATTTTTATATGAAAGGTACGGATTATATTGATTATATCCCTCCTACCCATACCTCTTGGATTGTGAAAGCGATATTTAAACACAAGGAGGAATTGATGAACTCGACGGTTTGGGATGAATTCCGTAGTAGGGGCGGTTATTGTACAAGAGATATGTACAAGTTGCTTAGGGGGTGAAACCCAAAGTTAGGTGGAAAAAGGTTATCCTGGGTAATTGTGCTCGTCCTAGGGCCACTTTAATCACTTGGATGGCAATCCTAGGTAGACTGCCTACTAAGGATAGGTTGCGCAGGTTTGGTATCCAAAATGATGGTTTGTGCGTGTTTTGCGGAACGAATGAGGATATTCAACATGCCCTTTTTGAATGTGACTTTGCGATAAACATTTGGAACCAAGTTTTAGATAGAGATGAGAAGTACTGTTGGGCTACCAATGGGGGTGATGGGGATGAATTGGATCATTAGCAATACTAAAGGCAAAAGTATGAAGTGTAAGAAAGCTAAATTGATTGTTGCGGAAACCATCTATAGTATTTGGACTACCCGGAATATGATTATATTTCAGAATCATACTAAAGATTTTTTCCAATTGGGAGAGTTAAAGTATAGAATAGAAATGTGTATGGAAAAAATTAATACTAGTCCTTATTGTGGTTTGAGTCTAGTTGTCTAGTCTTTTAGTCATTGTTGGATGTTGTTGACTTGGGCCTGGATCTTTGGATCGACTTTGTATTAACTGTTTTTGGATTAATATATTTCCGTTTCTTCAAAAA